CTTTCAACATTTCAACCTTTTAACTTCGGAGTCATCTTTAACAACGAAGATGACGAAGCAGAGATCGAGCGAGTTTTACTGCAAGATTTACACGAGTATAATCGAGGTAAATAAAGTATCGTGCATTCGTGCTGAGAATTTCGCGGAGAGTTAACAAAGGGAAAGACGATGGAGTGTCTTGATGCCACGAGCAAATACCAAAAATGTCACACAAATAAAATGTCACAAATGATGTTGCAAGCGAGCGATTGGCCATCGATTTGCGACGCGATTGCGGCACTAGCGGGAAAAGAGCAATAAGATTTACGTAACTGGCATTTTGATGGCATGTAAAAGATACACGCTCTTCGTAACTGTCACGATTATCGTCGAGAAATTTAATTAAACCGGAATTATTCGAAAGATCCATCGATCCCCGGGTCATAAATTACAGCGTGCTTCTCCTTGCGTGTCGCATGCAGGGAAACTGATCAAGTTTAAATTAATCTTATCGAGTGTGACGCTACTTTATATGTGAGACCACGAAATAAAATAAAGCGCCTTAAGAGACGATTTGTTATTTATTACAAAATCTTAAGTTTTCCGAAGCACAGACTTTTATGAGAGTTTAAAATAATAATGATTTAATTTTCTGAAAAATAAATAATTTATTATAAGATTGTAAAACTTCATAATCGTAAAGAGTTTCCAGAATCTTGAAAAGCTTGAAGTTTTAAGTTATCGAAATTTTAGTTTTGATATTACAATAATTTATGAAGTATTAAATGTTTAATTTTTTTTTTAATGAAAACTTGTTGAAGAAGGATAAGCAATTTTAAGAACTCATGTGTGTTATTTTAGATAATTGTAAAATTAAATTTTCAAACTTTTAAACGGAGAAGACGCGCGAAAATCGAACTCGGGGAAGACCCGATACGTGAAGCGAGGGAACCACGACGTCGCGTCGCAGCTTCTAACCGGTAGCTACGTTCGTCGTCTTAATGGAGTTCATAAAGATTAGAGTGAAGTTTGCTGCAGGGCTGGTGAGTCCACTCTCCACTCTGAGAACGAGTTTTCGCCGCTTTAGACGCATCCGGAGAGCCTGTCGCGTCGTTCAGTCGCGAATATTACGCATCGATAACGCTTATCTCGAAATATCGCGACCGACAATCCGCAGCGAGGTGCGACAGACTGGTTCAGGAAGTGCCACTTCCGTTTTGATTAAACCTCAGTTTAAGTTTCTCAGACTCTGATTTTCTATCTTTCTAATACTTTGATTTTTTCAATTCTTTGAAAAATACTTTCGCATTTTTAAGTATTTTTAGATTTAAACTTTCCCTTTCCTAAGTTGTCGTTGTTAGAAATCTCCAATTTAATTTGAAGAATTTCTATTACTAAAAAAAATCTCTCAAAACATTTTGATTTGCAACTGTACTTGAAATACAGCTTCTTTTCTTCTCCACAGATCTTCGCCATCCTTTCACATATCTGTACCATTTTTATAATATATTATCCGATTAAGTGTATTGACGCGTTTCTTGTCTCAGAATCGTAAATATTTCGTCCGTCTACTGCGAATTGAGAAAGAGCGCGGGAACGACAGAAACCAACACTCGTTGCTCGTAAACAACGATGTAGGGGCATCGTCTCGTGTACTTATATAAAATATAAAAGGGAACAGGGAGATATTAACGGCCGCGAGCGTGGCACGTCGGCTTGTGCACGATCGCGTCTAATCGCTCGGCCTCCCACGTGCCCTTTCCTCGACGCGCGCCCTGTGAGGATCATGTGTTCTTACGAATTTAATTGTCTTCATAAATATCGGAGTTCCTCTACCCCACACGCAGAGCTGTGCTCTCTCTGTGCTGAAAATATAGGGATATACCTCCCTTCTTCTGCCCCCTTCGCTCTTCTGCCTTCCAAGCATCTTAAGGATCTGGATCTTTTGGTCTGCGCTTTTTGTTAATTAAAATGCATAAAGCATTTCTGCGGCCGTTGATCGTCGAATTATTTGAAGGTCGATTTGAAAAGCCACTAATGTAATACTTAGATTAATCTAATGTTTTAAAACTTTTTGAGTAGTAATAAGATGTTAAATTTATCAAGTGCTTGTATATATATCTTAAACATATAAAATTATTTAAAAATTTTTTAGCTTCGAGAATCTTGAAAAGTTTCAAGTTGTAAGTTATTAAAGTTTTCATTTATTTTAAATGAATTTATGGGAGTATAAAGTGCTTGACTTTTAAAATGACTTTAAAGACAAATAAATTAATTTTTAAAATTAAGTAAATTAAATATTTCTGCGAATATATATTAATATTCTTAAATTTGGTTTTAAGTTAGCTTCTTTATTTAGTATGGTGTGTACTAGCTACCATATAACTACTGAATGGTTTTTTTTATCACACTGCATGTAATCTATAACTGTACAAAAATATGTATGACAGCTCCGACAAAGCTTTTATTAATTCTAACATCATAAATATCTTGTGGCGCCTGGCGTCTCTGTCCTGGTGAAATTCCAGTGACTCCGCTTCCTCTCATAAATGTATGGTCTTTATGGTCTTTATGGTCGCCGTTCAATCACCTCTCTCCACGCGTCTGGCGTTTGCCAAACTCATAGCATCCGTCGTCGGTCCTGTGTTCTGCCGTTTTGCAAGGATTTAATTCCAGCCTTGGGCGATTCCATTGACTTGGGGAATGTCCGCCAGTAGTATAAATCTGCGAATGCCTGCAGCATCCGGTCTGCATTTCCGCCGCTCCCAATCGATGTTTCAACACATGATTCGAGTGTTCCGCGACATAAACCATTCCTTGTGAATCATACGAAATGATGATCCTCTCAACCGACACACAAGCGTATTTCGGGTCTCCAATTATAAAGAGAGTTATAAAGCAGAGAAGCCGTAAATCCCAAAGTTTTACGATTTCGAAGTTATAAAGTCAAAAGAACTTCAAAATTTTCTTATTTTTAAGAATTCAAATCCCAAAGCTACTACGAAATAAAAATTCTTACGCAAATTCTTACGTAGTAAACCTCATGTTTTATGTTTCGAGTTTTACAATTTTTGGTTTTTAATATAATAATAGTAACATTTTTTAATCCAACTCTGTTATGCTTAAATATATTGTATGATAAGTTTGAAGGAGTTTGGAGAAGTTGAGATTTAACCCTAATCGGTATACGGGTTCAGTGGATTCTGAAATTTTCTTCAACTATATTGTGTTTATAACAAAAATTGTTTATAACAAATATTTTTTTACCTTACATAATTTTAAGTTACGTAAATTTAATTCTCGGATTTTGACTTTTAAAATAAAAAAATTGCTCAGTTAATAGTGAATTTTATTGGATGCATTCACAGTGCGTACTGGTGGCACATTAAAGCCGTCGTACACAAAATAACATAAAGATATGTTTATAAATAAACATAGAAATTGATTAAATCGTGAAACACCTAATACATTTTATTGTACTATTAGATAAAATATGTATTTCATAATTTGAAATATTCGCATTTCATTTTTATACTCAAATTAAATCAGTGTACAACGGATTTAATATGCATCAGTGCGCACTAATGTTTCCGAATTCGCCATTAGTAAAGATGGTTTATGGACACTTCACCTTCTACCATTTCATCGTTCGACATTTTATCATCGACACTTGTTAGACATTTTACCATCTAATATATTTCTTCGTCCACGACACTTTATCGTCTAGTATTTATCCTTTAAAACATTCTTTTTGTTTACATTCTTTTACATATCGTACGGACACTTGTTCGTCCGCAATATTTCTTTGTTCACGTCACTATTTGTGACGTCATAGATATAAATTCCAATTTAGTTTTTGTTACACTCTTCTAATATACAACGATTAACGATTAACGTTCTATTTAAAACCTTTTTTCTTTTCTAAAAATAAAATGCCACTTGATTTTGTGAAAAGTACAAAGAATATTAATTTAAGGTGCAAAATAGCTTTTCTTAAGATTTGTTTGAAGCTTTTACTATTTGAAGATAATGATATTCTTTATACATAATACGTATCATTTTAGAAAGAGCGCGGGGGGGGGGGAGGGTAGCCAGGCAAATATTAATTATAAAAATGGTCTTAGAAAGTTGCTTTACTACTTTATTAATCCACTTTTTTTTTCTTTCCTTCAATCCCCTGTATGAATTTCCGAAGATCCCCTTAATCACGTGATAGTTTGGCGGTTGTCTTGTGTATAAGAAAAAGAAGTTTGTAAAACAGCCTAGTACAGAAACAGAAAATCAAAAGTTACAATGATATGATACAATTATATGAATAAATACATGATTATTTGTTATATTTACGTTCATAACCTAACAACATATTTGCATTGCATATTAAGAAGTTTTGTGAATCTATCAGTCAGATTACCTAAAATTCAGTCACGTCTCGATTTTCAGATATCGTATTGTATCCGACATATTCTAAGATTTACTCGCGTTTTAATAAATTTTACTTTTTTATACAATCCACATATATGAATCTATAGTCTATACAAACATATTGAGTCAGTCGGTAGCAAACATCAAGTGTGATCGATCAACTAGAATCGGCAGTCAGAGTCAGCAGTCTGATACGGCCTTAATATTCACTTTGCTTATAAACTGATTCTCAAATACCAGCGTATAGTGGGGAAATAAAAATTACTGTTCAAAAATTGCTGCAGATCGCAATTTTTTAACAGTAATTTTTTTCCTTACCGAACGACGCCCTTCTGCGCTGGCGTCTCTATGCGATGCAACCATCTTGAGGTCCAATAAACTCGCGAAAACTAGTTAAGTAAAGATTTAAAGAAAAGAATTCGAAGCGCTAAGAAAAAAAGCTATTTAGGAATCTTCTATTAATATTTTGAAGTAATTCAGAATGTCCGCAAGTATGTTCTTTGGTGTTTCAAATCTTTTCTTTAAATCTCAGGCATCTTGACGGCGCGCATTCGTCAAAGAGGTCGTTAAAGAGGGATCAATAAACGTTTTTGTTGCAGAGAAGTGTGCGTGGACGAAGGCCAACAGCTGTCGCTGGCGCACGGATGTCAGTTTTACGAGGTGAGCGCCGCGGAGAGTCCCGCGGGAGCGGCGTTAGCTTTTCAGGCACTCCTGCGGGAGGCGAGATCGGTCCAACTTCTGCGAGCGTTGCCGATCCGCAGAAAACTGGGCGTACACTCAGTCTCGAGAGTCCTCGGGACGATCTTCGGCAAGAACACCACCAAGGATCGTAAAAAGAGGCCATCGTTGAGTATATGACGCCTTCTATGCGCCCTCCTCCTCGGAGGACGAGATGAGCCAGGCAAGAGAACTGACATCGTCGTCCTCAGCAGTAACGTTTACTCCAATCGTTGACGAGGTCCTGATAAGGACGTAGAATCTCCTTTGTGCCTTCCTGAAGAAATACGGTTATCATTAGGATCCGAAGACTGTTCTCGGTCTTAGAAGCGTCTTTTTGACGAGAGAGCGATCCTTTTCTTCAGGCGAAGAAATATGCATTTGCTAATGGCAATCAAACTCCCGAAGTTTTGAAGCATATTCGGGGAACTAAAACTCCGAGGACGTAAGACTGATTTTCTGGCTTTGAAGATATGCAGGATCCAAGGTACGATACACTCTAGAAGTCTGAAGTGCAGAGTATCTAAGGCTCTTTTTAACATCCGGTAGCTGAAAGTTCACTTCGAGAAGTCCCAGTCATGGAGGGCGGCAACATTCATCTAAAAAAAAAAAAAAAACTGTTTCGTGTCCTGAAGAAGGATGTTTACGTGGTGTTCGCGTGTAATCCTGCTGTCGATGGCGGGTAAAAAGTGAGTAGACTCAGAGATTGTTTGTGATATGCAAAGGTACTTTTTTAAATACTGCAATATTTTACAGTGTAGATTACAAGTGACTGGCAAGTTGTTCCTGAACGACGTAATCTTTAGAATGATCAAGAATAATCTTATGATTGCGAATCGCCCCGCAATTGGTTCCGCGAGTGCAAATTTTACAATTTGGGATACATAAAATACTTACACATCTCTTGGTGTTTAAGTTATTACATTATTAACCCTAAACAGTACATATGAAATGTAATGAGTTTCATAAATGTTTTATATTATTTTTTATGATATTTATAACTCTTCTAAACTCGAAAGATTTCTACATGATTTTTAAACTCACAGTTTTCACACTTCTATTCTGTTTCCCATCTTTTTTTTGTTCGATTTTAAAATTAAATATTGTGATTTACTGAGCGAGAATAAGATACTGTTTAGGGTTTTTTTTTCTTCTAATCTTCTTTCGAACGAAACCCGTGAGTCTTTCAAATTTCGATATTTCCACCAAGTCGAAGAGATCGCAATTCGATTCGATTTTCTGCCTATCGCCTTATTTGTATCAGGAAGATGTTTGCAAGCGCTCTTATTGAGAGCGACTTCAACACCTTCGCCATCAGGCGTGATTGATTCGATGACTTTAATGTTCCTAAAGAAAGTAGCCTAAGTGTAAATAGCGCATACGTTCACTTATACTCTGCGGAGAGTCTTAGAGACTTAAGTAATCATTAAGATTTGCATACGAAAGAGGAGAAATAATGAGTGCGGACGCTAAAATATTTACAATTAAAGATCATTAATTTGATTTATTTATTTGATCTGATATTCAAGAATATTATGATCGTAAAAAAAGAATGAAACAATATAAATTTGAATTAAAGATGAATTTTGTTATTTTATTACAATTTATATATATATATTTTTTTTCGTAGATTAGAATAAACGATAAGGGATGGCTATTAATGGTATAGTGGAAGTATCATAATAATGTGTACTCATTTCTCGGACGTATTTTCATCACGTTCTGCGCAGTATCTGGGCGTGACTCAATTCGCCATCTTTTACTCACACACACATAGCAACGCGACTGTAACTGTCGGTTACCTGTCAATGCAAACGAAAAAATTTATTAAAAAAAAAGATTTAGAATTAATTAAATTGACGATTCATAACTTGCATACATCTTTTAAAAAACCGACATTGCTGTACTACGTTGGAACAGATTAAATAAGTCAAGGATTAAATAAGACAGGGGGAACAAAAGAGGAAATAATGTAGTTATTCATACAGTCGTTGCATATCGTTTAAATTAAACAAGTTTTATTACTATATAGTATACATTAAATAAACTCCTAAGTTAATCCTAAAGTGAGCATTTTAATGTTTCGTGTTTCTTTGAAAATCTCTCCCCTTAGAAATTATTCAAAATGCGAATTGAGACGCTCTGACATTGGCCAGCAAAAATGCGCACGTACACACCTTATTACTTCCACTATGATTAATGGATTAAAAAAATATTAACGATCGTTTGTGAATGATTATCATGCTGCATTCGTCAGTAATGATAGATTGATTATCGTCTACTCTACCGTAAAAAATGTTGATTGTTTGCCTTTTTTGCTAAGCTCCTCAATCGCGCGCGATGTTTTGTAAATCATTTTTTTTTTACGACAAGCATAGAGATTATGATCGACTTTTGAGGTTTGTAGTTCATAAACACTTTGAGAGTGCCTTCCGGACGATGTAAAGTCCATTATACTTTTTCGCCAACCGCTGACTTTTTGATGCGAGTGTTAATGAAGAAAAAAAAAAGCGACTCTATTTACATTACATTTAAGAAAATGGAATTAACGAGCGGTGTATTGCACGATCCCTTTTTAGCAGAAAAAAAAGCTACAATATGCTCTTTGCTTCCCGTTTCTGTTTCTTGCTTTTTATCTCTTTTAACTTCTTGCTTTTTTTGTCTTTTATTCTGTTTCTTCGTTTTCTGTCGTCTGATATAAAAATTGATGAACTTCGAAAGAGACAAGAAATACGATTAATAAAGTTGCAAAGAGGGAAAAAGGCAAGAGGTATAAAACAAGAAACCAAAAGCAAAGAGCATATTATATTATACCATTCGATGAAGCTAGGTCTCTCTTTTTCACGATACATTCCACTTGAAATTAGCGTCCCTCTGAAATGTACGTATGTGTATGTGAGTGAGTGAGAGAGTGCGTAATTCGATTCCAGGCAGATGTCGATCGCTGTATTCGAAGTGCTAGTCACTTGTTATCGAGAGAGGATAATAATAAAGAAGCGTCTTTTGTTAAATCTCGTCAAATTTAATTTTCCCGCCTTATCGCCTGTTTCCCATCCACGCCGTGAATCATCGATCCATTCTGGGTAAGTTATTTTCTGGGGAGGTTATATTTATAAATTTTTATACTTTTACTTATGCAATTATATGAGGAATATTGTCTTTTATGTAAATAATATACCAAAATAGCTCTGATTCTTTTTTTCAAATCTCCCAGCGTTCTCATATATTTGAAATTTATGAATGCTAGCTAGAATTGAAATTAACTTGTTACGATTTATTTTCTGTGAATCAATTACGAGACCCGAGAGGCGTCACGAGTATAGATTTCACGAAAAGTCGGCCGGGCGATTCCACAAGTGAATTTAGCGAATTTCGTCAAGCAAATCCGCGGTCGGCTGAATAACTAGCGATTCGGGCCAAGGTTTTGGGTGCAGCACGTGTTTGTTCATCTCTGTCAGGTCGCGATACAGAAATAAAATACGGCTCCCCCCAGGGACCCCGATGTATGCATTCCCTCGCAATGACGGCACGATCACTCGCGCGTCGACAGAAAAATGCAAAAAGAAAGGATAGTGATGCAGGCTCGACGGAAATAAGGGATCGAATATCTCGTGAGAAATGAGTTTTAAATTTTTGTCGATGAGAATAATTTATAGAGAGAGATTTTTATGATGGCAATATATTACAAGCTAAATCATTTAAGAATTGTAATATATAATTTTTATGGTAAAAGATAAAATATGTACTAATTTACTTGAAAATTTAATTTTCTATAAATATCTAAAAAATTTCATAAAAGATCTTTATTGTTATGACATTTATTTATTGTTACGAATGTTGTGAAAGATATAAAAAAAGAGTAAAGTAAATTTTGATAGCTTACATATTTTTGAAAATATAAAAAGAGAAAAAATATCAAGACACAGATTTGACGTCAGTCAAGTAACTTCAAAATGACGTCTGACGTGACGTCAAAACTGACAAGTAGTCATTTTGTTTGTTGGGGTTTGCTCAATTTTATTTATTTACCAATTCAATGTTTGAATTAGAAGTCTACATACGTTCATTTATCATACTCTATTTTTTTATTTATATCATTAAATAATTTATTATTTATTCTAATCTTAATGATAATCAGATCCTTATTTATATTATTCATTTATAATAATATATTATTTTTTTCTTTATTTTTATTTAAAATCGAATCTAAATTAATTAAAATAAACTATACAAATTTAAATTATAATATTTATATGTATTTCCTACTTCCTAGATGAGAGGACCACGCTTTTTTTCGCATACGTCAGTGTGAAGTGACATTACTAGGTGATAAGTGGGTACAAGGGTTCAAAACCTGGTCGGTTTAAGATTTCCGAGTCGAGTCATCTAAGTCTAAGCGTTAGAGAATTCTCCGTAGGCTGCGCACTTCTCGTATTACCTTGCATCCTTTACATCCATTCCCTTCCTCGAAGACAAATGATCCGGCTGTACAGGTAAAACGATGCCCTGATGTTGTCGATTTATCGCCACGAATGTCGCGACGCGTGGGGACCATGTCGCTCGAGGACTATATTGGGTCGTCCTCGAGCCCGGATAATTTCAATTTGCGTATTTCACCTGGGAAATCGAAACCTCGGACCGAAGTCTGGAAATTCTCTCCTTACATTATTAAACTGATCTTGGTACGCTTAAGAAGCTAAGTGAGACGTTGCGGTTTTCCTGTTGCAGTAATCCTACAAGTGTCTTATTCATTAAAAGAATGAAATAAATATAAAATAATATTAAAATAAAGCCCGATCAGTAAGAGCTAATAACATGCTAATTGTTTGTGTATATTATTACCATATCAATTCTTATTTATTCTTAATATATAGCATCAACGTTTTGTTACTTTTTTCAGCCTTCAAGATAATGAAACAAATATAAAAAAAATATATAAAAATTACAAATTGAGTTCTATTTGTTCAAATATAGGCGCATTCCAATAAACTTTGAGTAATTCTCTATTACATTGTTTGAGCGTAGTGAACAATGACGTAGTGAACAATGACGTAGTGAATGAACAATGAACCATGGTATATTGTAGACCACATAACCTTTTTTACGATAACCTTCAAAATAATAATTCATTGTAATAAATATTTAGAATACAGCCCCTCCCTCCACCTAAAAAAATTTCAATAAAAATGTATTCATTTGATGCGTTTTCACTTAAAACGAAAGAAAAACGCAATGGTCGGCCTGTGATCCTCACCATCTTATAATTATCTATTTTATAAATAAACATTTTAAAATATAGCAAGACTAAAATAATCCCAATTCGCAATATAAAACATATAGTTTATTATTAAAAATAGTTCATTGTATACACAACCCTTGTACACAATGAATCATTTCCCGATTTTTTTAAATAATCGAAATTGTGACTAAATTTAAAAAATAACTTAAAAGTTATTGTTTACAGTATGTAGCCAACTAAATTCATAAACTGTATGCTCAGATCTTCAATTCAATAAATGAAAGAGATAATATAAGCCTCTGAAATTTACATGGTTCATTGTTGGATCACTTATACGTAGCAATTTTATGGTTCGAAACT